ACATGGCAGCAAGGATAGCATCAAAGTCAAGATCAAAGATCGCTACGCCAGCCCTAGACAGCTCTCCCCAGCGGGGGAACTCAGTAGCGTCGGGGAACTGCTGACGCCACGCGTCCGACAGGCGGCCAAAGCAGCGTTGGGTGGAGTGGGCACCCCCACACTGCTCACCCGCGCGGTCGCCGCTGCGAAGAACGTAGGTGCACGGGCCAAAACCTCCACCACGCTGACGCTGCGTGTACCACTCACGGAGCTGCTGAGGCGGGGGGACGTCCCGAGAACGCTGCTGCTGCTGCTGCTGGCGCGGACCACCACCAGAGCCGCTCCGCTGCGGGGCACTACCCCGACCGGCTCCACCTCCTCCGCCACCACCGCCTCCACCTCAGCCACCACCGCCGCCTCCGCTCCCACCGCCGCCGCCGCCACCGCCCCTGCCTCCGCTGCCGCCACCACTGCCACCACCCCCGCCACCACTCCCACCGCCACCCCCACTCCCTCCGCCGCCTCCACCGCCACCTCCACTGCCCCCGCCAGCTCCACCCGCGCCCTTGCCCCCCTTGCCTCTGCCAGAGCGGCGTCTCCCGCTAGAGGCAGACGCCGCGCCGACCGACTCAAGACCAAGCAGGTCGGCGGCAGCAGCAAAGGCAACAGAAGGCAGCAGGGGGGAAGGAGAACACCCCTCAAAGATGGGGGTGCGCGGGTCTCCACGAGAAGATCCTACAGCGACTATGCTCTTCTCTGCCGCTAGGAGGGCCTTTTCGAGGAGGTCAACAGTGAGAGTGGTGGGACAGACTGAAAGGAAGTGGTCCCTGACTACGCGAAGGGAGTGAGGGAGGCTAGTGACTATGTAATAGAGAGCGATGTACATGGGGGGGGGGGGGGGGTTCTTGGCGCAGAACTCAGCAGGAAGGGCGGCGCGGTAGCGGGTGTCACTAGTGCGGAGGTGCATAATGAGGTCAGCGAGTGTGGGAAAGGCAGTAAGGTCAGGAAAGAGGTATGGTAGCATGAGGCGGCTCAGTGCAGCAGTGGCAGGGGAAGAGTAGCGCGCAACTACAGCGTCGTACAAGGTCTAAGCACTCTTGTACTGACTAAAGTGCGCGCGCTGAGTGGTAGGGAGGTGGCGACGCACAGCAAGACGTGCAGCAGCATCGCAGGTGGCCCACTGAGAGCGAACAGTGGGGTCAGCATCAGCTGCAGGAGCAGGAGAGGCGCCAGAGGTGAGGTCAAAGAGAGAAAGACCGTCCACCCTATCGCACTGTAAAAACAAATGCAGGTCATCGACCCAGACCTCAAAGTCAATGGCTCGACCCTCAGAGTCAAAAGCGAGGACACTGGGGGTAGCCATGACGAGAGACTAGCAGTGCAAGCAGTGGGGGGGGCAAAGCACGCAGTAGTTGTGGGGCGTGCTCACCAGACGGGGCAGGACAGGCGGCTCGGCAGAAGGGCGGCTCGGCGGTCGGGCGGCTCGGCGGGTGAGTGCAGGGCGGCAGGGCGGCTCGGCGTCGGGCGGCTCGACGGCTCGGCGGCTCGGCTGCTGGGCGGCTCGGCGTCGGGCGGCTCGGCGGCTCGGCGTCTTGGTGGCTCGGCGGCTCGGCTGCTGAGCGGCTCGGTTGCGCAGCTGCAGGGCGGCTCGGCTCTCCCGATACTCGGCGGCGTGGCGGTCGACTGCTCGGGTGCACAATGCAGTGGGCGAGGAGCTGAGGGCGGTGGGGCCGCGAAGTGCAGGGCGGCGGGGCCGCTAAGTGAAGGGCGGCGAGGCCGCTAAGGGAGGGCGGCAAGGCCGCGAAGTGCAGGGTGGCGGGGCCGCGGTAGAAGGGCGGCGGGGCCGCGAAGTGCAAGGCGGCGGGGCCGCGAAGGAAGGGCGGCGGGGTCGCGAATGAAGGGCGGCGGGGCCGCGAAGCGCAGGGCGGCGGGGCCGCGTGAGCAGAGCAGCGGGGCCGCTAAGGAAGGGCGGCGGGGCCGCGTCGTGCAGGGCGGCGGGGCCGCGACGTGCAGGGCGGCGGGGCCGCAAGGAGGGGCAGCGGGGCCGCGATGTGCAGGGCGGCGAGACCGCGACGTGCAGGGCGGTGGGGCCGCGAATGAAGGGCGGCGGGGCCGCGAAGGAAGGGCGGCGGGGCTGCAAAAGAAGGGCGGCGGGGCCGCGAAGTGCAGGGCGGCGGGGCCGCGTGAGCAGGGCGGCGGGGCCGCGAAGGAAGGGCGGCGGGGCCGCGCCGTGCAGGGCGGCGGGGCCGCGACGTGCAGGGCGGCGGGGCCGCGAATGAAGGGCGGCGGGGCCGCGACGTGTAGGGCGGCGGGGCCGCGACGTGCAGGGCGGCGGGGCCGCGAATAGCAGGGCGGCGGGGCCGCGAATAGCAGGGCGGCGGGGCCACGACGTGCAGGGCGGCGGGGCCGCGAAGGAAGGGCGGCGGGGCCGCGTAGGTAAGGGCGGCGGGGCCGCGACGTAAGGGCGGCGGGGCTGCGTAGGTAAGGGCGGCGCGACGGGCCGCTAGGGGCGACACGGAGGGTCGCTAAAAAAAAAAGGAAAACGCGCCTCAGGGCGCGCTTCGGTGGGCCCTAGGAGCAGTCCTTAGGAGGGAACCTGCTCTGATTCCATGTGAAAGCAAAGAACACGAATGAATGAACTATGAAATGTGTGAGTACAAGTACCAACCCTAATTGGGTTGTACCCCCTATGGGATACCCCACTATAGCCTACACAACAGCATAAGCTATAATGTTTAGACAACAGGTTCGGTGGGGAAATCGAGAACCAATCGCGTCAAAAACCCACTCAAAACCCTCGACCAATCACACGAAAGTGGTGACAGTTTTGGGGCCGACACGGTAATTCTGGATGTGTCCTTTAAGCTGCTGGTCATAAGCAGGTCAGTTGCAGGTCAGTCTCAAGTGAATTTCAAGTGAGTCTCAGGTCAGTCTCATGTCAATCTCAGGTGGGGTTGAGAACGTACCAAAATTGAGTCCAACCGGTCCACTAGTCAAAGAGAACTAGTTTGATCAAGTCGAGCCAACACCGAGGTTCATAATCGAACCCGTTCAGCAGCAGCATCTCCCGTGGATCTCAACAAAATCTGCAATGTTCATGCACTTGGTGTCCCAGTTTCCATGTCAAACCTCTCTGTTGTGTTTGTCCCGGCTCAGCACCTTAAGTTAAACCAACCAAACGGGTTGGCCCACATTGGCCACCTCACTCACCATACAGACCACCTTACTGCAGGCTGCAGCTACCTAACCAGCATCTCCTGTTCACACAACTCTGCTGCACACATTCTCCTGCAGCCATTCTCACAACAGGTATCCCTTTCCCTTCATCTGTGCACATATCGTGGCTGTATGCCTATCAAATTAAGATTCAAATTCAATTCTCCTAACCATAACTGAATCCCAAGCAACCACCATATAGCAAATCTCTATTGTCATACATAATTCGGTATAAGGATCGACAACCGTAAGTTACAAAATAGGTCACTCACAGACTAGGTTCGACACAAGCTAGGTCAGTGGGGGGCTAGGCCAGTCACACGCAAGATCAGTCAGAGGCAAAATTCGTCACTTAGAGACGGCCGAATCCAACAGCTAGGTCAGACAGCGACTGTGATAGAGAGAGGTTAGGTTGGTCACAGGCCAAGTAAAAGGGTAGATCAGGCACAGAAAAGGTCATTCAGAGGCTACCCAAAGTCACAAGGTAGGTCAGTCACTGGCTAGGTCAAGCACAAGCAAGGTCAAACAGAGGCCAGGTCACTCGTAGGCTAGGTCAATAGCAAGGTAGGTCAGTCACAAGTTCGGTCAGTCAGAGTTCCCATCCATCAGAGGCTAGGCCAGTCAAAGGGTAAGTCAGTCAGTCACAGGCTAAGACACTCACAGACTAGGTCAAGCACAAGGTAGGCTTGACACAAGTAAGATTTGTGATAGGGTGCGATAGCCACAGGTGGGTCAATTACAGCTAGGATAGACACAAGCAGGGTTAGCCGTAGGTTGGGTCACTCACAAAAGCCTAGGTCGGTCCACGACAGGCCAGGTCAGCCTCACACGAGGTTACATACAAACAGCAAGTACGGTTTTGTCTCGACTCGGCCGACTCAGGCGATCACTCGACTTGACTTTTTGTCAGGTGATCATTCATCGAGTCGGCACTCGCCAATCTGGCGATTCTACACACCACGTCTGACTCATCTCAAGTGGAGGGTACCTGTTCACATCCCTCTTGTCATGTGCACCTGAATCAGCTCCGACCAGTCCAGGGTAGAGGGAGTCAAGGAGGTCAACCTAGCCTAACAAATGCACACCTACAATTACCCTGAACCTTACTTTGGCATTATTGAATCCTTCTCATGTAAGAGAAACCCTTTTTTTTTCCGTAACCATGCATTATCAAGATAAAATCATACACTGCATGCGGATTTTATTCAACCCTGAATGTCATGCAAACACAAACAATCCCCTCCTTTTACCCCTATGACTGTACCATTTTTTAAACAGACTGCTCAGCTTTACCCTCCTCACTCTTGTTAAGGACCAATTAACACTGAACATCGTTGTGTGCAGCGATCCCGGCGCCAAAAACACACCCATTTTCCTGTCACCACACGCTGCTTCCGCCAAGCGACAATACACAGCATAACCCACGGAGAAAACCGCATCCAGCTCTTGCCGCGAGCAGTAGTGGTGCCTCCACCTCACATTATCCCACGTGCGTTTCCGTGCCAGTACACTTGCTCTTCTTTGTAATATCTGCCTGTTGAGGCACTTGGCCGAGTACTGTGGATTTTTTATAGGAAGCTGCTGCCCATACTGGATGAACCGCCAGTCAAAGAAAGAATGGAAGTGGAAGAGGGGCGTGGAGACCCGTGTAAGGGTGTGTTCAGGGAAGAAGCAGACCCAGTTGTCACTCTCTTGTGATCATGAGGCGGACGGAAGCAGGAAGGAAGGGGGTGTGTGTGGAGGGGGTGGGGGGAGGGGGGGGTAAGAGAGCAACATGATGACGTAGTGACTGGGAAGAAGCAGACCTAGTAGTCCCTCGCTTGTGCACCTGATTGGGAGAGAAAGGAGGAGAGAAAAGGAGAGCCTCTCGAGTAGCTTCAGAAGAGGGAGAGGAGGAATTCTTACTGAGATGCGCCCCTTATATGGAAGAACCAGAGGCGGCTCCAAAGAGTGCGCAAATCACCCACCACCCACCCACCCATCACCCTTGAAAGGACAATTGTCTATGGTTGTTTTCACATGTTTTCACCTGATAGGTGGTATCTTCATGCTGTTTTTACCTGCAGGGCATTTGGGAACTTCAATGAGGTGCAGAGCGGTAAGCTGCTGAATGGATTCCCGCCACGAGTACACCCCAAAGCGGTCCTTGGCGTCTGCATGGGAAGGGGGAGGAAAAAGGGAGGGACAAGGGGGAGGTGGAGGAGAGGGGGGGAGGAGGGAGGAAGAGCAGGGAAGGAAGCCTTTTGATAAACAAGGCTACAACTGACATGACTCAAAAGGGGGAATTGTGCCTACTGGGTTCCAGAGACTGCTCACCAAAAAAGAAGGCAAAGTTGGAAAGTGGAGAAAGTTTACCAACAAAACACAGTGGTTAACGGTGCACGAAGCTCACCAAGTAAGACAGGGTAGGTGAGCAACAAAGAACCCTGCTCTCACCCTCAAGCTCACAGCGCTCACCAACGAAGAAGCCCGAGTTGGCAAGGCAGGTGGCTTTGGCGTGGGGGAAGGCAGCAGCGAGGCGGTCGCAGTGCATGATGATGGCATGGCCGCCCGCTGAGCTGCCCGAGTAGAGGACATGCAACGCCGCCCCCATGCCCCTCTGCGTGCACAGATCTGCGAGATGAATGGTGAGACGGGAGGGGAAGGGTGGTGAAAGGCAAGAGGGGGACAGATCAACCACGCCCCATCTCCTCCTCCTTCCACCCTCCCCCTCCTGTTCAACTATATCCCCCCTCTCTGCCTCCTATTCCCTGCATGTAGACAGATAAAACCACACCCCACTTACTCCTCCTTTGCACTCTTCTCCATGGCCCCCAACGCCTTCCTTATCCTTCCCCCTTCCCCTCCCCACCCACCAGTGGTTAAATGATCTACAATCTGCTGCCCACCAGTTATAATATCATCTAGAATCTGCCACCCCTGCATGTACACCGATGTGCCCTCCCCCAGGTCCGCCCTCCCCCGCGTGCTGCTGTAGGCGCCACCGTCACAGTACACCACCCACACCAGGTTCCACCCGTGGAACAAGGGGTTGGTTGCGCTGTCCTGTGATAGGAGCCCGCCCAGCTGTGGATACGACTCGGATGCCTGAGGACAGGGCACGGTGGGGAGGGGTCGGGTGGAGTTGGGTGGGTTGCACTGCGGTGGAATGCCTTTCTCAGGCACCTCCGTCCGGTCACAGCACAGCACACGAGCCACACCAGGTCCACACGTGGAGCTCTCGGGTACCAGGTTATGACTCGCTGTTTGTTGAACCGTTCTGGTTGGAAGCTGGAATCTGGCGATTTTGTGTGACAGTGGCAACTAAGTTACTCACCGAGTACCGCCAGCCAGTGCTGGAGCGTCACTCTCCAGCGCCACTCTCCAGCGCCACTCTCCAGCGTCACTCTCCAGCGCCACTCTCCAGCCCCACCCTCCAGCGCCACTCTCCAGCGCCACTCTCCAGCGCCACTCTCCAGCGCCACTCTCCAGCGCCACTCTCCAGCGCCACTCTCCAGCGCCACTCTCCAGCGCCACTCTCCAGCGCCACTCTCCAGCGCCACTCTCCAGCGCACGCAGCTGCAGGCCAATGCTGTCCGCTCCAAGACCAATGAGACCTACCTACCTTGTACTATCCTAAAATGAATACAAGGACCGATCGAGAGAGTGAGAGAGAGATGCAGCGGACCCCTGGCCGCTGCACCTAGGGGACATCCTCCACACGCTGGAGGGCTAGAGGGTCACTCAAGGGGGTGGGGAAAGAGTGTGAGTTAAGGGGCTTGAGGGATGGAGGTTATAATGGATAGCACTGCATGTTTTGCACCTCTGCTGAATCAATACAAAGGACCGTTTGAGAGAGAGAGAGAGAGAGAGAGAGAGAGAGAGAGAGAGAGAGAGAGAGAGAGAGAGAGAGAGCGAGAGAAAGAGGGCATCTTATTTGTGACTCACATTGTTGATCTTTCTGCCGTTTTTAACAACGGCAGGCAGGTGCGTGGCCCAGAAGCGCGAGGAGCCAAGGGGGGAGTTGGCGCGCTCGCGACACTTGAGCGGCGAGAAGCACTAGCCGCCCTGGGGCAGATGCACGTGCCACTTGCGCCTCCCCGCGCCCGCCCCCGCGCGGAAGTAGTACGCGGGGGTACTTCGGGGGGCAGTGGGTGGGTGGGTGGGTGAGGAGGAGAGGAGAGGGAGTGGGGGAAGGGAGGGGATGGAGGGGTGGAGGAAAGGAATTGTGAGGGAATCGATTGGACGTATGAGAGAGGAGGAATGGCAGGTCGAAGGAGAAAGACCTAATAGCACGTCCAATCATCATAAAAAAACAAAAAAAAAACAAAAAAAAAGGTGCGCAACTTCCGTCGAGGCATTTCGAGTTGTACTCGTTATCAGGTAGGAAGACGAGGCGCGTGACTGATTCGAACCGGTTCGCTCTCTCCGTTCCGCAAAGGGATACGGGATACATGACTAACAGAGCAAGCAGCAAGGGAAGAACAGTTTGAAAGGAGGGGCAAGAGGGGATCGCGAGGAGCAGCATGATGCGCCTAGCAGCACGTGGTTGGTTGCAAGCAGGTCAACCGGTCAACACAGGTCAAGGGGGTCAAGCGAATCAAGTCGCGTCGAGCCAATTCAAAAGGTAAGATTGTCAGTGGCTCTGGCATGGCATCATGCCGATCCCGCATTCCCGCTGTGTGAAAATGTCTCCCTTGTATGCGGTTCAGTGAAATGCTTGGAGTTTTGAAGCGAATCAATGCTTTGCGTTCCAGAGAATCTAAAAATGGTGAGTCAACGCTCGAAACCTACGAACACCGCACGTGCCCCTATTGGTTGAATGATCTGTCAAACAGGAGAAGTAACAGTAGAGCAAGGAAGCAGAGGGCATCGTTGGTTGGTGAGAAAGACAATTTTGAAAAAAAAAAAAAAAAAGTGGATCGTTAGATGCGGGGAGGGAGATGGAACAGGGGGAGGGAGGTAGTGGAGCAAGAGGGTGCAGGAAAGAGAGTGTGAGCAAACCAAAACTCATCCGCCTTTTCTTAGGTTGAGTAAGGTAGGGTAGAGTTGGCTAGGGTTATCTGGGCCAACTCGAAAACGAGAATTTTTCACGGCTCGGTGGATGTGCGCTTCCATTTATACAGCAAGCGGTAAGAACGAACATGTCATTAACATGGGCGAATGCACTTGTACAAATGAGTGAGAATGTTTCAGAGACGTTAATATGTAGGTATTGACACGAAAACCACACTCAGCGTTCTAGGCCCAGATGCGCCAAGGCAAGGCTCAATCGCCCAAGGCATCAACGCCCATGGCGCTACTGCCGCCAGCGCACTAGGTGTGTAATATTCGGACCCAACCCCCACCTGGTCTCGATACGTCGAACCAGCTGAGAGGGGGGTTTGGTGGGAAATCTGATTGGTTGAGAATACAGGGAGAAGCGAGACTTGCGGGGAATTGTGGGTTGATTGGGAAACCAACCAACAGAAATTGCTAATGAATTGAACCCACGTAATTGGTTCAAGTTGGATCAAACACAACCCACGTAATTGCAACTCAGGCCTAATTCGACCAATCAGAACACAGCTCCAGAAGTGAGTCGACAACATTTCCGCCGCTCACTTCAAACACAACCAATAAACATCAAACACAGGTTTGTGATTGCTGTGCATTTCCTATCTTGGCTATCTAAAATGTAATTGGTTGAGAACCTTGTTTGTTGCCACATAAGCAAGGCCCAAAGGAGTGCATCCCTCCTTGCCATGGGGAAGGTGGCTGCACCCCAAGGGGGTCTAGGGAAGGGGTCTGAGCCTTCTGGTTCATTCTTCATTTCCTTACTCCCAACTAATCAATTGGGAAATAGGATTGTCTTCTCCTCAACTCACCCTCCAAGATTTGTTACTGCATTTTCCTAGCAACTCTCATACTTGGTCATTTCGAGGAGCTGTTAGAGGAGCACTTGCATTAGAGGAGCACTGGCATTGAAAACGGGGAGCGACATAAATTCGTTGCTTGGGAGAACTGGGATCGACACAACGGTTGCATATTTGGCACTTCGCTTTGCGGAACTATTCGTCCAGGAGTGATTGCGAACTAATGTCGATCTGGAGTGGTAACTGGTGGGAAACGCAATTTCATGTGGTTCTGGTGGGCAACGCTTGTGCCGAACTCGAGATTTGAGTGCTAGTGTAATAAGACGGAATTCACCATGCGAGATGCATGGGAATTTCCTAGCGGGTCCTTGGCTAGCTACCTACGAACAACAACACTTGCTAGCCTCGGGCCTTTTCCCGTATAGAGCATAGCATCGAGGCGTGATGTCGAGATGCTATGCTAGATAGAGTAGCAACACGGTATTCCTATTAGAGTCTCGCTTCTCTTTCCTTAGCATAAATATCTCTCTAGGGCCCAGTTCGGCAGCCACGGAAGAAGGGCGGAAGAATTTTTTTCCGTCTTCTTCGAAACTTCTAATCGCATTATCGAGGGAAAAACAGTAAGGGTTGTAGGGTAAACTTTCCGGAAATCGAAACGCAGGTGTTTAGCAGCAGCGACGCGAACACCTCCAAACATTGCTTCCGCGCCGTCTTCTGTCCTATTCTTCCCCCCTTGGCGGAAAGGTTCCGCCCTAGTGAGATGGAAGAAGAAAGCGATTCTTTGAAAACAGAAGAATCAACTTTTTGATTCCACCTGGGTTCACTGTTCACGGGCCAACATTGGACCCTCCAAAGGAAAGGGTTACTACATCAAAAAACACATTGTTTGTTTTTTGTTTTAAGTTGGATTTCCCCAACAGCATGGGGCGCAAATCTTTTGTTTTTTGTGGCGAACCTTTCTGTTCCCGCTACAGTGCCCTGGGGCAAGCACATTTGAGGCCAAATGTGCCTCTCTCTTGCGGCGCCTTTTCCCATTCCCCCCCCCCCCCCCCCCCCCCCCCATATCTGCGCCAACTCCCCCATGGCGCAGGTTTTCCGCGGAACAGTCAACCCAGGGTCAAAATTCGTTGACCCTGGTTTGATGCGAGCCTCACCTTCCCATAACCTTCCTACAAAATTGCTTCCCCTTGGCTGCCGAACAGGGCCTAGTTCTTGTTTGTATCGTCCTTAGATCATTGTAATTCTATCTTCTTGCCATCTTGGATCCCACCTTCTACTTCTAGCTTAGCTCTTCCGCTGCCATTACTCGTTCTCCTTCTTTCTTCTTCTAGCTACGGCGCCACCTTTGCCTTGGCAGGCTCGGCCAACCTCGCCTAACGTGGTTGCGCGCCGTGGCCTTGCTTCACTTGTATCCGAGCTGTTACGATCCTCAGATCTATTCTCGTGCTAAGCTAGCTACTAATCTCAGCCTCGACTACTTCTTTCATCCTTAGCTAGCTAGTACTTATCACTTCGACTTGACTACTTCGACATATTCTACCTTGGAGCAACTACGAGGACTTTCCTGCAGCTGATGGCAAGGACCTTCCTGCTCCAAGTGTGAAGTCGAATTCGTTTTGGTGGTGGCGAGGTTCTTGAACCTGATTGGGCGAAGTTCAGCCAACCAGAGTGTGGGAGCAAAACTTCAAATTTCAATGCTACCCTTCTATTCAAGGTGTCTTCCTACTGCTACACTACTTCGACATCTCCAAAATGGAATGTCCCGAAACTGTCCCAAAATATTATTTTCGAATACTTTCGGGACAGATTGAAAAGTGTCTCGAAAGACACTTTCGAGAGTAAGTGAAATGTCCTGAAAGTGGATCGCCCAACTGACCCGAAAGTGTCTTTCGAGAAACTTTTGAGACACATTCGAGACCTCTCTTCCTGTAGCATTGAGGACTCTCCCACGGACAGATTCGGGACGTCTCTGGGTTTGCTTGCATTGCAACTGCCTCTCTTGCGTTTGGCCTTAAAGCTCCATTGTATTTAAAACAGGACATTAATACAATGTTTATATAAGAAAACACTAGAAACGCTAAAGCATAATTCTTGCACCATGATGTTTACAAATTGCCACAACTTCCAAAACCATATGGCTCAAATATATTATCTGGCATAACACAAAAACACCGCAACATCTAAGTAGTGGCTTCACTTGAGTCATAATAAACGTTGCCGCCTGATGTTCACAGCCTATGGATTGTGGTGCTAGTAATTTTATGAGAGGGGGCCAATGTGCAACTTTAGGTTACATACCAAGTCGCTACGATTTCTGCTCACCGCCATGAATCACCAGAGCTCCTTGTTGCACTCTTGTCCCTCTTAGCACGACAACGAGTCATTGCCCCGCCCCCTTCCCGTGCTCCGTTTCCTCGACATCATTGATACACTCACGCTGTCATTTATCCTGGCCGACCTACCCTGTGACCCACCTCAGCTTGTGATTAATCTATGGGGCAGCTGATCCAGCCTGTGACTGATCTAGGCATGTGTACAGGCAACTCGAGTCGACTCAGAGTCTACTCGGTCCTGACTGACCAATCAACTCGTGAGTTGAGGTAGGAACGACCTAAAGCTGATGGTTAGGTGCTAAGGTAGATACGACCTAGCGAACAAGCGGATAGCTTGGCTTCAAGAAAGTAACGAGATGAGGCCAAGTTTGAATCTCGAAAAATCCAATATGCAGATTCTGAGCTGAAAGTTGCTCGACCCAGGTAAGGGCGAGAAATGGCCGTGACAACCTAGTCGACTAGAGATGAGTCAGGCGTGGTGTGTAGAATCGCCAGATTGGCGAGTGCCGATGAATGATCAACTGACAAAAAGTCGAGTCGAGTGATCACCTCAGTCGGCCGAGTCGAGACAAAACTCTACTAGCTGTTTGTATCTAACCTTGCATGCGGCTGACCTGGCCTGTCGTGGATCGGCCTAGGCTATTGTGAGTGACCCAGCCTATGACTAAACCCTGCCTGTATCTGTCCTAGCTGTAAGTGACCCACCTGTTACTATCGCAGCGTTTCACCAAACTTACTTGTGTCAAGCCTACCTTGTGCTTGACCTAGTCTGTGAGTGTCTTAGCCTGTGGCTGACTGACCTACCCTTTGACTGGCCTAGCCTCTGATGGATGGGAACTCTGTCTGACCAAACCTGTGACTGACTTACATTGTTATTGGCCTAGCCTTCGAGTGTCCTGGCCTCTGTTGATCCTGCTTGTGCTTGACCTACCTTGTGACTTTGGGTAGCCTCTGAATGACCTTTTCTGTGCCTGATCTACCCTTTTACTTGGCCTGTGACCAGCCTAACCTCTCTCTATCATAGTCGCTGTCCGACCTAGCTGTTGGATTGGACCGTCTCTAAGTGACGAACTTTGCCTCTGACTGATCTTGCGTGTGACTGGCCTAGCCCCCCACTG